GTGACGGGAGGGGGGCCGCGCACGGGCCCCCGAGGGCGGCTCGACGGGCGACGGGAGGGGCCGCGCGCGGGCCCCCTAGGCGCCGCGACGAGGCGACGGGAGGGGGCGGCGCGCGGGCCCCCAAGGTGCCGCGACGAGGCGACGGGAGGGGGGGGACGCGCGGGCCCCCAGGGCGCCGCGACGAGGCGACGGGAGGAGGACGACGGGGGGCAGCGCGCAGGTCCTCGGGGGCGCCACGACGGGCAGGAAACCGCCGCGCGCCTCGGGGCGCACGGCGGGCAGAAAACCGCCGTACGCCCTGAGCGCACGGCAGGAAGAAGACGGCGCGCGCCCGAGGCGTGCGAGAAGCAGAATAGCAGCGGAAGCAGTTAGGTGGCGGGCCCACCCACAGGATCGACCCAAGGGGGTCGACCTGCTCTGATAGCATGTTAACAGAACTAGGCAAGAATGATTGAAAGGAGAGAGGGGTTTCACTAGCAGCAGTTGGGGTACATATAGCAAACCCTAACTGGGTTGTACTCGCTATAGAGCACCCCACTACAGGCTAGACAATAATAACATTCTGACAAGTACAACCCCTCTTCTCTGTTCTATCATTCTTGCCTAGCTATTCTGAAATGGTATTCAGAGCAGGAGGTCCCTAGGACCTACCGACCGTTTTTTTTTAAGGGCCCACCACCGCTCGCATGCGGTTACCACGCTACCCCGTGCCCTAGCCTCGTAGCGCCCTCGTGCGCCCTCGTTAGCGCCCTCGCGCGCCCCTCGTTAGCGCCCTCGCGCGCACCCTCGTTAGCGCCCTCGCGCGCCCCTCGTTAGCGCCCTCGCGCGCCCCTTGCTAGCGCCCTCGCGCGCCCCTCACTAGCGCCCTCGCGCGCCCCTCGCAGTGTCGCCCGCCCGCCGAGCCGCCCGCTCGCAGCCCGCTCGTCCTGCTGCCCGCTTCGCAGCCCGCCCGCCCGCTCGCTGCCCGCTTCGCGGCCCGCCCGCCACGCAGCCCGCCCGCCCGCTCGCTGCCCGCTTCGCGGCCCGCCCGCTTCGCAGCCCGCTCGCTCGCTGCCCGCTCCGCGGCCCGCCCGCTTCGCAGCCCGCTCGCCCGCTCGCTGCCCGCTTCGCGGCCCGCCCGCCCGCTCGCTGCCCGCTTCGCGGCCCGCCCGCTTCGCAGCCCGCTCGCTCGCTGCCCGCTTCGCGGCCCGCCCGCTTCGCAGCCCGCCCGCCCGCTCGCTGCCCGCTTCGCGGCCCGCCCGCCTCGCAGCCCGCTCGCCCCGCTGCCCGCTTCGCGGCCCGCCCACTTCGCAGCCCGCCCGCCCGCTCACTACCCGCTTCGCGGCCCGCCCGCTTCGCAGCCCGCTCGCCCCGCTGCCCGCTTCGCAGCCCGCCCGCCCGCTCGCTGCCCGCTTCGCGGCCCGCCCGCTTCGCTGCCCGCTCGCAGCGCCGCCCGCCCGCCCGCTACCTGCTTCGCAGCGCCGCCCGCTGCCTCACTGCCCGCTTGCTGCGTCCCCTCTGCTGCTGCCGCTGCTCTGCTGTGCCCTCACGCCTGAGCTATGGCCTCTATTCGCGTTCTTTCCTTCGATGCTGAGGGCCGTCCCGTGCAGTTCACTTCCTGGCTCGACGACCTGCAGTTGTATCTTATGAGCAATAGCACGGACCACATCTCCCTCTATGACTACGCGTCTGGTGCTGCCGCTGCTCCTGCTGCCACAGCCGAGCTTAGTGTTCGTTCCCACTGGCAGACTCGTGACGCAGCTGCTCGCCTAGCCATTCGTAGTCACCTGCCGCTAGCTGAGCTCGAGCATTTTGGCGACTGCAAATCCGCTAAGGCCCTGTACGATGCTGTCGTTGCTCGCTACTCCTCGCCTGCCACAGCCGAGCTTAGCCGCCTCATGCTGCCGTACCTGTTCCCCGATCTGTCCACCTTTACTACAGTCGCCGATCTTATCACCCACCTTCGCACTAGTGATGCTCGCCTGCGTGCCGCCCTTCCCACCGAGTTCTGCGCTAAGAACCCCCCTCCACTGTACTGGACACTCCACTTCATAGTCACCCGTCTCCCTGACACCCTCCGCTCAGTTCGAGACCACTTCCTTGCTCGCTGTCCCACTGAGCTCACAGTCGCCCTCCTAGAGGAGCAGCTGCTCGCGGCCGAAAAGAGCATTGTAGCTGTTGGTGCTGCTCGTGGCGCTCCTCGCACCCCCATCTTTGAGGGGTGTTCTCCCTCTCCCCTCGCTCCCTCCTACGCTGCTGCTGCTGCTGTTGACTTCCTTGGTGCTGAGTCTGTTGGCGCTGCTTCTGCTCCTGGTGGGAGGCGCCGCACCGGCAAGGGCAAGGGGGGCAAGGGTGGTGGTGGTGGCGCTGGGGGGGGAGGAGGTGGGGGAGGTGGGGGGGGAGGCGGTGCTGGAGGGAGCGGTGGCGGGAGCGCTGGTGGGAGTGGGGTCGGTGGTGGAGGCGGGGGCGGCGGCGGAAGCAGTGGCAGTAGTGGCGGCGGCGGCGGTGGCGGCGGTGGCGGTGGTGGCGGTGGTGGCGGTGGCGGTCGGAGCGGTGGTAGTGGTGGCGGCGGCGGTAACAGAGCGTTCACGCTCCTGGCCTGTGGGCCCCACTGCTGCTTCCGCTGCCCTACTCTGTGTCGCGCGCCCCGTGGCGCGCGACCTTCACATTTTCATCCCGCCGCGCGCTCGGGGCGTGCGGCGGTTTTCTCCCCGCCGTGCGCACCGAGGCGCACGGCGGTTTCCTACCGTGGGGGACGCCCGCGGCCCCCCGATCCCGTCGCCCGCGGCCCTCCGGTCCCGTCGCCCGCGGCCCCGCGATCCCGTCGCCCTGGGGAGCCGCACGCGACCCCCCGCGGCCCCGTTTTCCCGTCGTGCCGCCCTGGGGAGCCGCGCGCGACCCCCCGCGGCCCCGATTTCCCGTCATGCCGACCTGGGGAGCCGCGCGCGACCCCCCGCGGCCCCGATTTCCCGTCGTGCCGCCCTGGGGAGCCGCGCGCGACCCCCCGCGGCCCCGATTTCCCGTCGTGCCGCCCTGGGGAGCCGCGCGCGACCCCCCCGCGGCCCCGATTTCCCGTCGCGCCGCCCTGGGGAGCCGCGCGCGGCCCCTCGCTGCCCCGTGGTCGCGTTCTGGGGGCCGAGCGCCGTCCCCCTCGCCGTCCCCCGCGCTCCTTCCCCCGTTCCGCCCGTTTTTAGGGTTTGGGGGTGCGGAGTGTGGGGGTGGCAGCTCTGGGGGTGCCGTGTGTGTGCGCCGTCCCCTGCTCCTCCTCCTCCTCCGTCTCCCACTGCTGCAGCTGCCGCTGAGGGGGGTGGATGTGTGGGAGCCGAGGTTTAGGGTTTAAGGGGGGTGCCGTGGAAGTGGAGCTAGGGTGTCAGCAGGGGGTGTGTGAGAGGGGCGTGGGACGGTCGGGGGAGGTTGCGTGGAAGTAGCCGTCGTGACGCCAGCAGCGCCAGTAGTCCGGATGCCCTCGCGCGTTTCGGTAGCCCAGCGAGCCTGCTTCGCCAGTTGCCTGTGGGTCAGTTGCTCCTGTGTGTGCTCGTCGTAGCCGCGGAGCCAGATACTCCCGTAGTCCGGTGCCCTCGTGCGCTCGGTAGCCACTGTGCACGCCGCTCCTGTTGCCCGTTGTGTCTGCAGCAGATCGCCCCTCACAGTCTCTCCTCCTCCTCACTTGCCCTCTGTGACTGCCTCTAGCTTTACTTGCATTTGTGGACTTGATCTATGACTGGTTATTTGCGCTGATTACACCCCACTTTGGCTATGGGGGTGTGTCAGAATGTTGTAATTGTCTAGCCTGCAGTGGGGTACTCTATAGCGAGTACAACCCAAATTAGGGTTTCCTATATGTACCTTGCATGCTGCTAGTACAACCCCTCTTCTCTGTTCAATCATTCTTGCCTAGCTATTCTGAAAGTCTCTGCTTGTACTGTGATCTATATATATACCTGCATGCTGGCTCTTGCTAGGTAGCCATCACTGTACTGTTATTGCTGCATATATATCTCTGCATGTGAACTGGCCCGGTGGTCCTTTGCTTGTGCTCGGAATGTGTGGTGACATTGTGATCCACCCTGAGCTTGTTTTGCTTCTCTTGACTGGTCGTGTGACCCCTTGTTCTCCCCACTTTGCCTATGGGGGTGTGTCAAACTATATGTGCTGCATATTGTCTAGGCTGTAGTGGGGTAGCCCATATGGGGTACAACCCAATTAGGGTTTACTACTTGTACTCCTGCATCCTGTTAGTTCATTCATTCCTGCTGCTAGATTCTGACAAAGGCCCGGATATCCATGAGCTTTGCAACAACAGCATCATGAAGTGTGAGGAAGGTATCAGGCAGGAATTGTACAGTAACATTGTTTCCAGCGGTGGTAACACCATGTTCCCTGGAATTGGTGCTCGCCTCAGAAAGGAAGTGAGTCAGCTGGTTCCCTCCACGTTCACTAAAGTGATTGAAGTACCTGAGCGGAAGTACACTACCTGGATTGGTGGATCAATTTTGGCGTCTATGGCATCCTCCGAGCTGGTATGTGTTTCCTGCATTTTCTGCTGATTTTTTATTCCTTTCTTGGTTCTTCGAGCTGACTTGACCTTCCGGTGATGCAGATATGGATGACCAGGGACGAGTTCAATGAGATTGGTGCATCTGTTGTTCAGATGAAGTGCTTCTAGTGTACGACATGAGAGAGCATGGGGGGGAGCCCTGCTTGTGCACTTCAGATGAAGTGCTTCTAGTGTAACGAAGTTCCTTGTGCACTTCGGAAAGGGTTAATGATGGTTATGAGTGAAGAGTAGTTTGCAGAATTGCAAAATTCATTTCCACAATTCTGTAAGTCAACATTGACTTAAGAGACCCATTTTTTCTGTCAGACCTTACGTAAGAAACTGGTATCGTTTGTGTTACAGGTTGAGCAGTAACACTAAAGAAATGCAGTAGGGAGAGCAGGGGGAGGGTGGGAGGGAGAAGGAAAAGGATAGAAATGAGTAAATCTACTGTGCATGGCATGCCACGGATTGGGCCACGGTCTCAACCCATGACCCATGGCACTTGCCAGAGAGTGCACATGAGCAGAGGGCGGCCATGCCATGTGAGCTGCACGGCGCCCTCTGTGGCCAGCATGCCTAGCCCAGGGGGGCAGCTACGGATGGTGCCATACGCCTCCTCCAGCACGTCTGCCGGCACGGGCAGCAGCACAAACCCCGCGTGCCGAATGCGCTGCGCCCACTCCGCCAGGCTCTCCGGGCGCACGGAGCGCTGCATGCCCTCTGTGGCCACCATGTTCACAATGTTGTACCCGAAAAAGGCCCGCTCAAACGCCAGGATGTGGTCGCGGTAAGTGGGTGCTTCGAGGAGGGGGGAAGGCGTGGGGGTAGGTGGTGCGGGCTTCTCAGTGGCTTGTGAGAGAGAGGACATGCAGACTTGGGACCAGCTGGTGTCAGCACTGCCCACCGCACCTTGTGCACAGGGCTCTGCGTCGGGTGACAGGTGGTGGTGCTGCTGCTGGGGTTGCTGGTTGCGCTGCTGGTGGAGTTTGGTTGGCAGGGGCGGTTGGTTGGTGGCAGGGCATGCGGAGAGGCCCTCGTGGCACTCAAAGAGCGCAGCGTGGCAGTCGAGGCAGTTGCGCAGGCGCGAGAGGAAGAAGGGGCCGTTGGCAGAGAGGTCAAACTCCATGAAGGTGAATATGTCCGGGGCAAGGGAGGCCACCCACTGGCGCGAGGGAGGGAGGGGCAACACACAAGGGCAATAAAGAGGGGGTAGGGGGGACGAGGGAGGGAGGAGAGATGAGGGGATGCAACTCACGTAAGGGCATGCGCATACAGGGCAGGGGTGATGTGATGCGAAACGATGAGGCTGGTTGGGCAGCAAGAATTTTTGTGCAGCACACAGCGTTGCGAGCATCGTGTGCGGTGCCATGCCATGCCGCCCCACACGGGCAGTGATGCAACCACTGAAAGCGGGCAGCAGGCAGCGCACCTTGAGGACGGCATCTCTAGGGCTGCTACGCATGACAGAGCTGTCGTGGAAGTACTGCAACTCCAAACAACAGCACACCGCCACCACCTCCTTCTCCTCCTCCACTTCGTCCTCACACCCGTCCCCTTGCCACTCCTCCACACCCCACTCCTGCACCCCTCCACCCATCCCCCTCCTCGTCCCTCCGCCACCCCAGCCCCCCGTGCCCGCCCATCTGCGCCGGCCCTCCACCTGGGAGAGGCTATCAGCGAGGTTATCCTTGTTAATCGTCACCACGCGGTGCTCAAACCTCTCTATGCCCAGCGCGGCCGCCTCTGCTGTGAGTTGTGCTGTGAGCTTCCTCCCCAGCTCCTCGTGCTTCTGCCGCTCACACTCTGCCATCCAGCACTGCTCCTCACCCCCCACCTCCTCCACCTGCACATCTCCCGCTCCACTGCCCATGGAACCATCTGCTCCGCATCCCGCAGCGTCCCCCGCTCCCCCCCCTGCCTCTGCCGCTGCTCCTGCTGTGCACCGCTGCGTGTGGGAAGCAGCAGCTCGGCTGACACGGAGGCAGTTATCGATGGTTGTGATGCGCACGCAGCGAGGGGGGCCGCCAGGCAGGCAGGCAAGGCGGCGCAGCAGCAGCGACCACTGCCCGCCCAGGTACACTCCAAAATCGACTATGTGCAGCGCCCCCCTTCGCATGCCTTTCCTTTGGCTCCTCGCCCCTTCGTCACACGCTGCTCGTCCCACTCCTGCTCCTGCTCCTCCTCCTGCTGCTGCTGCTTCCCCAGAGCAAGAAGCCTCTCTGGAGCCGTCGCTGCAGTGGCTGTTGCTGCTGCTGCTGGTGCCAGGCGCAGCAGGATGCGTGGTAATGGGGGAGCCAAGGGGGGTGTCGTGAGGCGCGCACGGATCGAACGCACGATAGCGAGCGGCGGTGGCGGTGCCAGTGGGATGGGAGGGGCGAGAGTAGCGGGAGAAGGTTTGCAGGATGGCGGAATAGGCGGTGGCGTAGAGGAAGGGGATGAAGGGCGTGGTGGTGAAATACACTTGGCGCGACTGCAGCATGTCCTGGCATGCAAAGGGGGGAGAGGGAGAGAGAGAGAGGAGACCGGGGGGGAACGTGGTGGGACAAGGAAGGAAAGGTTGGGGCGTGGTGGTGAAGTACACATGGCGCGACTGACAGGGAGAGAGCATGTCCTGGCAGGGGGCAGCGCACAGGGGGCAGCGCGTATGACGACAGGGAGAGAGCAGGTAGATGGGGGGAGCACGTGGTGGGAGACGCAAAGGGGCGAATATGAGATGGAGTAGGGAGTGAATGGTGAGGTGACAACAGAGTGGCACACTATTCACCTCTGCTGCCCCGCCTGGAAACGACTGGCACGCCCACCACATGTGCACGGGCAGCGAGCCTACTATGGTCCATGCCCCATCACATCGCACGCGCGCCCCACACGCTAGCGCACGCCACAGCACCGCACCCCATCATATCACACCCCACCGCAACCAACCACATCACATCCCACCAAGGCAACCACACCACACGTGCGCTCGGCGCTTGGCCATGGGAGCTGGGCGGTTGTAATCCGCACAGTGCGTGCATGTGGGAGTAGAGTACCTGCGAGGTGAAGGCAGCGTTGTAGAGGCGGAGAGCGCCAGTGCCGTGCAGGCGGGTGGTGAGGGCGTCCAGGAAGCAGTGCGCCACTCGCTGCCCCGGCCGCCCCTCCGCACACGCTGCTGCTGCCACGCGCGCCCGCAGCCCTGCCACCCGCTCCTGCACAGTGAGGGACGCACGGCGGTGTGTGGGGTGGGGGAGAAAGGGGGGTGGGGGGGGAGGGTTTGGGGGGGGGATGAGGGGAGTAAGGAGAATGCGAGCATCGGAGTGTTGGGACATTTAGAAAAGATGTGTTGTGGATGGGGAAGGGAGGTTAGGAAGTCGGGCTAGCAGCGGGAGAGGGGAGAGGTCGAGGCGGTACAGGGTAGATGGGATGATATGATAGAAAGAAGATTGATGGGTGCGCAAGAGGACGACGCATATTGAACTGGATTGGGAAGGTGCGGAGCACAGAGCGTGTGCGGTGATGAGAGAACTGAGGGGAAGAGGGGATGAGGGAGGGAGGGAGTGAGTGAGGGAGGGAGGGAGGGAGGGAGGGAGGGAGGGGAGAGAGAGAGGGAGGGAGAGAGGGAGGGAGGGAGGGAGGGAGGGAGGGAGAGAGAAAAGGAGGGAGTGAGGTGAAAGCAGTGGAGGAGTAGTGAGCAGGGAGCGGGCACTGACCATGTCTTTGGTGGCGATGGCTTCAGCGAGGGCGAGCACGAGCTGCTTCACCTCGTCCATGCCCACATCGCTCTTGCCCTTGTGCACGCGCCCCCGCACAGGCCGAGGCACTGCCATGGCCATCGCCTCATGCACAGACCTGTGAAAGGGCATGTGTGTGGGCATGGGCATGGACGTGGGCATGGGCATAGGCATGGGCATGGGTGTGGGCGCGGGCATGCATATGTTCACTGATGTGAAACCACGCATTAGATTGCTGCTGGCCGCAGCACCGGGCAGCGCAGTTGGCAGCAGAGAGTGGTATGTGAGGGGATGACATGAGAGCGCCTGGGAGGAAGCTCGTGTGTACGGAACCGCAGCGAGAGAGGGCGGCTGCAGCTGCGGTGCGGCAAAGGGGTCGTGCGGGACAGCGAGCATGGCGGGGGCGAGGGCGAGCGCAGGCGCACAGCGGCTGATGTGCTCCGCGAGGAGAAACGGATCCACCTCTCCTGACAGGCCGTCTGGACCTGACCCGGACAGTAACCACGCGTGGGGTAGGGACGGCGCCACTGCAGCAGCGCCTCCTGCAGCACCAGCAGCAGCAGCAGCAGCAGCAGCAGCACTGGTGGTGGGCTTAGGAGGGAAGGCAGGTGCCGCAGCAGCAGCAGCAAGGTGCTGAGAGCTGAGTGTTGCGGAGGGAGGGACCTGCGACGCTGCCCGCCGCTTGCTGCCTGACTCCTCACCATGCGCCTCCTGCACACCACCACCCCTACCACGCCCAAATGCGAGCCTACCCCCATCACCACCGCCTGTGACTCGCCCATGCAGGCTCGACGCAATCTCTCGCCCTCCCTCCTCCAACCCACGCTCCAGGCCATTTGCTAGACCCGCCTGCTCGTGGACCATCCTCACTTCCCCTGCGCCAGCTGCTGCTGCAGCTGCTGCAGCGTCTTGACCCGCCCTACGCTTGGCCTTGGCCTTAGCCTTGGCGTTGGCGTTGCTGGCGTGGCTTATTTGGCTTATGAGAGCTGCCAGGCGCCCTGACAGGTTGGGCAACTGCCGCGCACGCGGGGTGCTGCCACACACCGCCTGCTGCTGCTGCGGCTCCTGCTGCTGCTGCTGCTGCTGCTGCTGCTGCTGCTGCTGTGGCTCCTGCTGCTGATGATGATTATTTCTATTATTGCTATCATTACTGCTATTGCTATTGCTGCTATGAATATTAAGCCTCTGTCGTTGCTGTGCACCCAACAGCTCGCCCACCTGCTGTCCTTCCCATGCATCACCAGCACCAGCACCCCAAAACGCCGCACCATCCTCATCATCAGTGGTAGCATTGGCATTGCCATTGCCACTCACACTATCCTCGTGCCGCTCCCTGATTGTCGCCCCACTCCCAACACCGCTTCCCTCCACATGCGCCCAGTCAAAAAGGCCGGCGCCAGAAAGCTCCACAGGCGGCGCCGAATCCTGCACCTGCTGCACATCGCCTCCCCCACCGCCCATTCCGCCCGCCTTGCTTCCGCCCATGCTCACTCCCCCCACTGCATTGCCACTCCAGCAAGTCCCCGCACATGCCGCTTCGCCCTCGCTCCCTGAGAAAACATCCACTGGCAGACAAGGCACCCATTCATGCAACGCCTCGTTCCCTTCTGGCGTCGTCATCACAAGCTGCGGCTGCTGCTGCGGTGGCGACTGCTGCTGCGGCGGCTGCTGCTGCAGCAGCAGTGGCGAGTGACTCTCTTCCCTGTGCAACGGCAGCGAAGCCCACGAGGCAGAGGCGGGAGGTGCTACTAACGAGTCCGGACGCAAGCACTCCCGCATTTCCGCTGCGCCTTGGCTAACCGTCGGCGCGCCTTGCAACGGCGGGCTATGATCGCGAGGCGCAGCGGCGGACGGGCAAGGCGACGACACAAGCAAATCGCCTGCCGCGCACGGCGGATCCGCGAGCAGCAGAGTGCCGAGGAAATCGTCGATTGGGTCGTCGGAGCGACCGCCATTCAAGTTGAGCCCCGCCGGGTCCGTACACTCCGGCGGCGCCGCACACTCTGGCGGCGCCGCACACTCCGGCGGCGCCGCACACTCCGGCGGCGCCGTACACTCCGCAGCCTCGTCGTGAATCGTCCCCGGCTCCAATAAATTGAACGACTCCCCATTCCGCGGAGACACAGGGTTTTTCAGTGGCGCTGCTGCTGCTGCTGCCGTCATAGCACCACCGCCGACCGAACCTGGCGCTGCGGCCAAGAAGCTAGCAGCGGCGTTGGCGGGAACGGAAATGGCCGTGGCAGGATCGGCGGCGGAGGCGGCAGGTGAAAACGGTGCGGACGACAACTGCTGCTGCTGATGCTGCTGCTGGTGGTGCAATAAGTTAGCATCGCGATGCTGCTGTGAACCGGTGTTGCCGATGGGAGTCCCGTTTGACTGCGAGTCGTCCGTGATGGCGTCTAGAAGGTTCAAGAACTCCGCTGCCACGTCACTCCCCGCGAATAAATCAAGCGACGGATTTTCGTCGCATAACGTCGCAGAGTCGTGCTGCTGGCGAGAACGGTGATGGGCAAACGACGGGGACGGCGACTGATGCGATAATGATGCAGCTAGGACCTGCGCGCCAAGCGGACATTGCTCCACCGAGAATTGGCTGCAGTGCGCGCCAAATACGGGCGCGTGCTGAGCCCACGACGACGCCATTACACCATGCGAGTTTCCTGCGGCCGTTCGTGCGACCTCCGTGCAACTGTGTGGCCGCCTTGCGACCTCTGTGCGACCTCCGTGCAACGTCTGCGACCTCAGTGCTGTTACAAATGCAAATCTCGACGTTACTGCTTCTCAAACCTTGCGCGCGCAATGTCCGTTTTCCACTTGGAGTCCCTAAAAACGGCCACTACGACATGCCGCTGTCGCGTCAGTCCTGCTGTGTCCCCTGCTTGTTGGAGCAGTTAGGGTTGTTGAAACAGATGGAACGGGGGATGGCGTGAAGGGGAAGGAAGGACCTTGCCCTGTTGCCGCACTACTTGGCCCTGTTCGACTGGCGCATCAGCATTTCGGCTCGGGTACCAGCTCAGGTTCGGGTGTGGTGCTCGGACGAGACCGAGGTGGCTCGTGTTACGAGTGCAATTGAGCGAGCTAGCTAGAAGCAATTGCACTATCGAAGCAAGAGTACAATGAGCGATGGCATGAACGAAGAATATTTAGCGGAACTACAGTGGTAACGGTAATGTGCGGGAATTGGGGTGCGCGACGGGCCTAGCGCCGAGGGTGGGGAAACGCCGAGGCGGAGGTCCGGAGCGCGGGTTACCAACCGAGCCGTGAGGTTGGGTCGCGGCGTGAACAGTGGGAGGAACAGTGTCGAGGCGAGTGTTGCGAGTGGTAACGGTTTACTGTTTGAGTGCTAGTGGCGCGAACAGTGGTGTACGCGCTGAGAAGGGACGCGGAGTAAGGAAAAGGAAGTTTCCTTACACTACACCCCCCCCCTCCCTCCCCCCCTAAGGAGGCCCTCCTTACGAAAGCGCGTGTACATACCGGAAATTTCGGCTTCGCATGTACTCGGTGAGGACGGGGTGATTCTCAATTCTGCCAGGGGAACCCAGTTGTCTTCGTGTTAGAATGTGATGGTTGTCTAGCCTGCAGTGGGGTACTCTATAGCGAGTACAACCCGAATTAGGGTTTCCTATATGTACTCAACTGCTTGCTAGTGAAATCCCTCTTTGCCTATTTCTCGTTTTCGCCTAGCCTGTTTAACATGCTATCAGAGCAGGTCGACCCTCCTGGGTCGATCCTGTGGGTGGTCCCACCAGAAGCTTCCGCTGCTGTTTCCTGCTGTTTCCTGCCAGCCGCGCGCTCCGGGCGTGCGGCGATTTTTCTTCCCGCCGCGCGCTCGGGGCGCGCGGCGGTTTTCTCCCCCGTCGACGGTCGCGTCGCCCCCCGCCGGAGCCCGTCGCGTCGCCCCGCGACCCGCGCGTCGCCCCCCGTCGCCCGGCTCGTCCGGCCTGCGCCAGGCCCGTGCGCGCCCCGGGCAGCCTGTCCCAGTGCCGCATGCCGTCCCCCGAGCTTTTGACGGCGCCCCACCCCTGCTGCTGCCCGCGTTCCTGTGTTAGGGTTTGGGGGTGGAGAGTATGAGGGTGCCGTGTGTGTGAGCCGTTCCCTGCTCCTCCTCCTCCTCCGTCTCCCACTGCTGCAGCTACCGCTGAGGGGGGTGGATGTGTTGGAGCCGTCGGAGTGGTACGAGGGGGGTGGCGTGTGAGCGGTGCTAGTGGTTCAACAGGGAGTGTGTGAACGGGGTGTGGGACAGTTGGGGGAGGTTGACCGGAGGTAGCCGACTAGTCGTCCGCAGCGCCTGAAGTCCAGGGAGCCACGACCCCCTGTGGCCTGAGTAGTCCGGGGCTCTGCGCCCGGTAGCCACAGTGTGAGCACTCCTGGTAGTCCAGAGAGCCACGACCCCCTGTGGCCTGAGTAGTCCGGGGCTCTGCGCCCGGTAGCTACAGTGTGAGCACTCCTGGGAGCACAGCGAGCCAGCTGCGTCTGTCGCCGTGTAGTCCGGGTTTAGCCTGGTAGCGACAGTACTACGCACTCCTGCTGCCCGTGTGTCTGCAGCTTCAGCCGTCGCCTCCCATCTTCTCGCCCCCACAGTTTCTCCTCCTCCTCACTTGCTCTCTGTGCTAGCCGCTAGCTTTGCTTATAATTGTGAACTACTGCTCTGCCTGCTTGTTGTGTTGATTATACCCCACTTTGACTATGGGGGTGTGTCAGAATGTGATGGTTGTCTAGCCTACAGTGGGGTACTCTATAGCGAGTACAACCCGAATTAGGGTTTCCTATATGTACTTAATTGCTTGCTAGTGAAATCCCTCTTTGCCTATTTCTCGTTTTCGCCTAGCCTGTTTAACACTTCGGTGGGTGTACGGTCCTTCCAGCGGATCAGAAATTCGATCCGTCGAGCTCCTCGTGGGTCACGAACTCGGTAGCTCAGAATCTTGTCGAGCGTGATGATTGGCTCTGTCGGTGGTCGTGTCATGCTGGCTGGGCGGTTGCGAGGTAGTTGGCTGGTTCTCGGGATGTAGGGGTGGAGTAGGCTGACATGGAAGGATAGGCTGACGTACCAGTCAGCCGGGAGGAGGAGGTGGGCGGTGACCGGTGTGATCATGTGGCTGATGCAAAATGGCCCGCAATATCGAGGGCGGAGTTTTGGAGTGACGGGCAGGCGGAGGTTTTGGGTGTCGAGTAGAACTAAGTCGTCGGGCTGGTAGGTGATAGGGCGGCGGTGGCGGTCGGCGTTGCGCTTAGCGATGATGTTTGATTTTTTTATTGCGTCTGCTGCTCGGATTCGTGCTGCCTGTAAGATTTCGGCGAATTGTTGCACGCGGGGTACTGCGTTGTCGGGATTTGGAGTCATGGGCACTGTGTGGTCTTGTCCGTAGTTCAGGTAAAACGGTGACTGTTGGGTCGTGGCGGATGGCGAGTTGTTGTATGCGAACTCGATGAGAGGCAGTTGCTGTTCCCAGATGGTTGGGTCGTCGCACGTGGCTCGGATGAGTTGCTGAAACCATGTCAGAAGAACTGAACGAGGAATGAATGAACTAGCAGTGAAATGAGTACAAGTACCTAACCCTAGAATTGTGTACCCCCTATAGGCTAACCCACTGCAGCCTAAACAAGCACAACACATATAATGTTTGACACACCCCCATAGGCAAAGTGGGGGAGAGCAAGGGGTCACAAGACCAGTCCAGCAAAGCAAGACAAAACAAGCTCAGGGTGGATCTCAAGGATACCACACAAATTCCGAGCACAAGCAAGTGGTCACAAGACCAGTTCACATGCAGGTTGATAAAATAGCAAGAGATACAGTGATCACAACCTAGCAAGAGTAAACATGCAGGCATATATATAAGATCACAGTACAAGCAGAGTCAAGAAGTAAGCAAGTGAGGTCCAGCAGGCACAAGGCCTAGAAGAGTACAGAAACGCTGATGGTCACAAGGCTGAAGCGCCTTGGTGAACACATCAGCAAGGTTGGCCTCAGTGGCCACGTAACGCAGACGTAACTGACCACGCTGCTGCAGCTCTCGAGCAAGGAAGTACCGCAGGGCAATGTGCTTCGTTCTGTGCTCCAGTCTGTGCTCCTCACACAAGGCAATGGCAGCCTGGTTGTCGACGTACAGCACTGGAGGAGAACGAGGCCGCTCTCCCAGGTCGGTCAGCAGGTAGGTCAGCCAGCGTAGCTCCTGGGCAGCCATGGCTGTGGCGTAGATCTCAGCCTCACAACTGGAGCTGAGAACAGAAGAAGAGCGTGTAGAACGCCAAGAAACAGAGCCGGAGCCAAGGCTGAAGGTGTAACCCTGAGACGACCGCTGAGTAGCCTGGTCGTCCGCCCAAGAAGCGTCTGAGTGTCCAGTAAGTACAACTCGGTCTCGCCCTCCAAGCACTAGCCCCATGCCCGACGTACTGCACAAGTAGCGCAACACCCTCTTAGCGGCATCCATGTGCTCCTTCCTGTGACGGCCAGGAGCGACATAGCGTGCAAGGATGCTAAGAGGGTATGCAAGGTCAGGTCGAGTGCACGTCATCAGGTACATGAGGCAGCCCACAAGCTCTGGATACGGGCCACTCGGCTCTACGGACTCATCCGAAGGCAGAGCTGAGAGCGGGTGACCGGTAGGCAGAGGAGTGGACTGAGGCGAGGAGTACGTGAAGCGGAAGCGTTGAAGGATCTGCTGCACCATGTGTGACTGAGTCAAGGTGATGGTGCGCCGTGCTCTGTCCCGGGTGATCCGCAAGCCAAGATAGCTTGTCAGTTCACCCAGGTCTGTGCACGTGTGTCTCCTTTGCAGCTCCGACTTCACGTGGGCGAGTGCCGCGGTGTCAGCAGTGGCAAAGACCAAGTCGTCGACGTACACGAGGATGTAGAACGGCAGCAGTGAGGTGTCTGTGCGTAGAAACAGTGACGGGTCAGCAGTAGATGGAGCGAACCCAAGAGCCACAAGTGTCGTCCTCAGTGTGTCGTGCCACTCACGCGGTGCCTGGCGGAGACCGTAGACCGGCCGCTGGAGCCTCCACTGGGTACCAGGAGGAACCGACCCAGTGAAGCCAGGAGGGCGGCGTAGCCAGATCTCTTCGTGCAGGCTGCCCTGCAAGAAAGCAGTGCTGAAGTCAAGTGAGTGAAGCTCGTAGTCGCGCTGAGCGGCTATGTGCAGCAGCACCCGAAGAGTGGTCATCTTCGGGGTGGGGGAGAAGGTCTGGAAGAAGTCAACTCCCTCTCGCTGACTGAAGCCTCGAGCAACGTAGCGCGCCTTGAAGACAGGAGGAGAACCCGGTGGCCGCTTCACCCTGAAAATCCACATGCCACTGACGATGTTCGCCCCAGGTGGGGGAACCTCGTCGACGTAGGTGCCTGTGGACTTCCAGGAAGCCATCTCTGCGTCCATGGCTGTCTGCCACTGAGAGGAGTAGGGACCCGCCATCGCCTCAGCGTAGGTGCGCGGGGTCGGGATGTCTGGTGCATCCGGGTCTCCCTCAGGGGCAACTAGCATGGACACGAGATGGGGCAAAGAAGCAGCAAAGCACTGGAACTCCTCCTGTCTGTCCTCAAGGACGTCAGTGCCAAGAGCACACACACCCCCGACGGACGGAGGATAGACAGACTCAGACTCGGACTCAGCAACAAGGCTAGTGGCGTAGTCTAGACGACACCG